GTGTGCAGAAAGGCTTGTCTGGACAAATTGCAAAGTGCTCCTCACTATTTCCATACAGTGTTGTAAGCCTACGTTGTGTTTACCCTACAATCTGGTCTCCTGTTTTTATTTTGCACCTGGTATGGATGCAGGCCCTGTGAAATGTGAGTAGAACCTGTTATGTAATGAATTAATGTGTAATGAATTTGTAGATGAGTCACATTCATTACTACGGGAGTACGACGGGGCATTGTTTAGCAGGGAGTGCATTTCTTAAAATTCCCGTTTATTACTTTGTTAGGGTGCCTCAAGGTCCCAGTGCGCTGTGCTTTTATTTTGAATGACTTTGATGTGAATGTTTTCACAGATGTATGATTTGGATGCAGTCAGTCACTTCTCTTCTCTAAGCCCAGCAGTTTGTGGCTGTGCTGTGCGGTGATGAGGCTTTGAATGTGTTTGCCACACGAGTAACCCACACACCCTGTTCCCTTTCTTTCAGGGTCTCTGGAATAAAGTGGACGAGTGCCGAAGTCGCGCAACAAAGACAAGACGGGATGAGAGAGAGGGTGCTCTGCAGAGGAGGGAAATAGAAACGAAAGGAGGGGAAAGAAGAAGAAACTAGGCAGAGCGAGAGAGAGGAGCGCCACGGAAGAGATTCTCTGGAATAAATAAATAAAAAGACTTGTTTGGAGAAAAGACAAGCTAGATGAAAAGATGAAGCCGATTAAAAAGCAGGGCCGTCGCTCGCCTCCCTCTACCCGGGCCAAAGGGGGGAAGCGTCGCGGAGTGGGGGATGCCCTAGAAGGAGGAGAGAAGAGAGACTCAGATGAGAACAGAGACAGAAGCAGATCCCCACAAAACCAAACTCCTTCCTCTTGTTTTTCGTCTAATTTGCACTCAGAGTCCTCTCAGGCCGACCCAATGACAGAGCGGGACACTGCGGGGGGGGAGGGGCTTCACAGAGAGGGACGGTCAGAGACGACGGCATCGCTCGTGATGGATTCTGAGAAAATGCTGACACACTCTGATGATAGATCGGTGCGGTCAGCTGTGAGTGGCAGTAGCCAAAGTGACAGTGGTGGTAGCAGTTGTAGTAACAGTAGTACACCAAGCGCCAACAACAGCCCAAACCCCGCCTCCAGCCGAAAAACAGCCACCTTCAAGGCCCGTGTTCCCAAGAAGAAGTACACCTCTGAACACTGTTTGTCTACGACTGCTAGTAACCATAGCAACCCTGCCTCCAGCACGCCTCCTCCTCTTCCTCTGAGCGGTGGCGTCCTTAACCACGGGTCAACAAGTTCAGGAAGTGACATCGCGCACCACGATGGCAGCGTTCATAGCAGGAGCCTGCTGGACGACTTCCACAGCAGGACGACTGGAAGGGAGGGCCCTCAGGACAGCTCCCCAGGACCCCCCACTCTGTCGCTGGGAGTGGAGAGGACTGCAGGAGGTGAAGGGGTGAGAGATGCAGAGCGAGTGTCGCCCCCCCTGCCACGCTGCTCCTCAACAGACACCGCCAGTGAGCACTCAGCTGACCTGGAGGTGGCTGGTGACACACACGCCCTTACACAGATGTCTGCACACGCACCACCAAGTCTCCCTGACGCTCTGTCAGATGCTCTGGCCAAAGGGCTGAAGAATCAACGTGTCCTTGCTCGCCAGCTCAGGAGAAGAAGTGATGAGGAGGGAGGAGACGAAAGGAGGGATGAAGGGGGGAGTTCAGAGTTGGTATTCCGGGCTGGGGTGGTCCGTAAGGTCAGTGGTGAATTTGGAAGCCTGGAGGTGCAACTGAATGGGGAGAAGATGATGTGTCGTTATCCGTATCGGCATGACAGCCCCCCAGGGGTGGTGGACATTATCCTAGATGCCCCCCCACCTGGTGTCCATCCAATACCTATTGGCACCCGTGTGTGTGTACCGTTTGGCAATGAGGAGGGCAGTGTTGGTCACTGGCAACTGTACCGAGAAGGTGTGGTGACTCAGATAGACACGCACCCTGCAGTGGCCAACCGCTATCGTGTCCTGCTGTCTGAGGGAAAACCTCACTCTGTGGAGGAGGAAGAAGATGGCAGAGTGGCAGCCGCCGCTACCCAGGCAGTGTGGGTTTCCCGACAAACACTCCGTCTTCTTGTACCGCCTTGGGACCTGGATTTGCCATCTGGAGGAGGACGAGAGGAAGAAGACAGGGTCAGAGAAACGGAAAGGGAGCGGGAGGACAGGGAGGAGGTGGATGTGGAGCAGGAAGTTTGCCGCTTGAGCCGAGGGATGGCCCCAGGAGTGGGGCCAGTGCTGGGGAGAGGGATTCGCTACCCAGGCATGGTCCCTGTTTCATCCACATCAGGCCACAGTATCGCCTCCCCAGTAACTCCAGTGTCAGTCCTCAGTCTGGCTCCTGGTCGAGACTGGGAATGTGAGAAAGACTTCGAGAGGGACCTCCAGAGAAAACAGGAAAGAGAACGAGAAAGGGAGAATGTAAAACAGCAGCAGCATCAACAGCAGCAACATCACCCATACATGCCACTTACCCCTGAAGAAGACATGGAGGTGTCCCACTTTAACATGGTCCCAATGGGGGCAATCATATCTGGGGCCAAACCAATGGCAATTCCCCAACACCGCCACATCGTTTCTAAGCCCCCACCTGGCTACCTCAATTCCCACCTGTCTGTGGTGCGGGGCATCGGGATCTCCTCCGCCCACCTAGCTTTGAACCCCCACCCTACTCCATCACCTGTCCTGTTAGGCCTTGATCCAGCAGCAGCAGGTTCTGTCATTACCACTCCCCAGCTCCCTCCTCTTCCTCCCCTCTCATCTTCCACTGCATCCTCCTCCAGAATAGAGAAAGCCTCAGGAGGAGGCTCTAACAGTGGAACAGCAGGTGGTGGATCTGGATCAGGATCAACGTCCTCCTCCTCTTCACGTTCCCGCACCCCACTGACAGCTGCCCAGCAAAAGTACAAGAAGGGAGATGTGGTGTGCACACCTACAGGCATCCGTAAGAAGTTCAATGGAAAGCAGTGGAGGAGACTGTGCTCACGGGAGGGCTGCTCTAAAGAGTCTCAGCGCCGAGGATACTGCTCCAGACACCTCTCAATGAGGACCAAGGAGATGGAGGCCAGTGGAGGTGGCCGGGAGAGGGGTGGAGCCAGCAGCACTGGGACTCTGACGCCATCTGACCTCCGTCTAGGTGGTGGGAGAGCCAGCTCCGAGTTTGACTGGGACGAGACATCACGGGAAAGCAGTGAGGCCAGCAGCCGTGGAGGAGACTCACGTCCCCGCCTGGTGCTTCCATCTTTGCTTCCTCAGGACCTCTCTCGTTTCGACTTTGATGAATGTGAGGCAGCGAGTATGTTGGTCTCCCTGGGGAGCTCCCGCTCAGGCACACCCTCATTCTCTCCCATCTCCAACCAGTCGCCCTTCTCCCCTACCCCATCGCCCTCACCCTCTCCGCTCTTTGGCTTTCGTCCTGCCAATTTCAGCCCTATTACTGCCCCTGCCTCACTGACTCCACGGCGCCATCGCCAGCTTAGTGGCACTAAGATGGGTACACCAGGTGCTGAGCGAGAGCGGCACCTGTCGGGGATAGTGCCCACATTTCAGACCAACCTCACTTTTACAGTCCCCATGAGCCCTAGCAAAAGAAAGCTGGACACTCACCCGCCACCTCCACTGCCTACAGTCCAAGACTACCAGACCAAACCTGAGCACCATCAGCTAGTGGGGATAGCGGGAGGGGTGGTGGGAGAGCCACCCCTCGGCCACAGCCCTGCAGCCTTCAGAGTCCTCTCCCCACTGAGTCAGCCGACAACTCCCTCCTCACTCCCCTTCCCCCGGTCCCGTAGCGCCACCAGCAGACCACCATCCTCCGCTGCCTCCACACCTCCGCCCATGCTGGTCTCTCCCACTCCTCCCTCCCCACTGCCCCAGGAACCCTCACCACGCCGCATTGTTCCTCTTCGTGATTCCCCAGTAATTGTCCGCAACCCTGATGTCCCCTTGGCCAAGTTCTCTGATGGCCCATTAGGAAGGAGAGAGAGAAGCAGGTCAAGGGAGCACAGCCAGCCCCAACACACAGCTCCCCCGGGCCTGCAGGCGCCTGTTCCCATCAACGGGGCCACCACCAACGGTGCAGTTCTCCTGCGCAGCCCCACATCCACACTTGTCCTGGTCACCTCCAGCTCGGTAAGAAAATCGCGATTTCTTGTTTTTTCAAAAACCTTAGATACCCCTGATTTAGAGGATTAATATTTTTTTGTTATAATTTTGAAAAAGATTATACATCTTCTATATTATTCCTATTAATCAGTTCTTTTCAATGTCTCCCTCCAGTCCCTGACTCCAGCCACGGTTGGCCACACGTCCCTCTCCAGCCCCTCCACCCCTGGTTCAATGGCCACTTCATTGGGCTCAGTTCTGTCATCCTCCGGTTCTGGAGGCAGGGAGAGGGAGAGGAAACCCGAGGGACACCAGGACCCCTCTGGAGGGGCACTGCCACAGCCGGTAGCCTGTCACCCCACTCCCACCGCCCTGCTGCCACTCATACTGCCAGCTGAGTCGCCGCACCCTGCTCCACGCAAGCAAATCATCATGGGACGCCCAGGGACTGGTAAGGAAGGACGGGGAGTGGGTTGGGAGATCATCCTGCCTGTCTGGCTTTGACCTTTGTCCCTGTCAGATGCAAAGTCTGCTGAGCTACAGTTTTGCTGCTTTAGAGTAGGAAGGGATGAGCTCTGCCTTATGTGCTCTGGCTTAGTGCCTCTCACTTTCAGTATCTCTCTCAGGTTACACAAGTGTCATCAGAGTGCTATGGCTATGACTCATGTACACTTTACTATTGTTTGCCCGCAGTGTAAGAAAAGCACAAGTTTCCCTCTGATCTGCTTTTTCGGGAGTGTTTTACTGAAGTTAGTATGTTGTTATTCCGCGTTTTTATTCGTATTATATAAGTAGTGGAGATATATTCTGTTGCTTTGGGCTGCGAGCTCAGTTGTTTTCTAAGAAATGCTAATTTCTTCAGCGAGCTATTGGAAATGCACTCATGAAATCAGCCACTGTTGACTCAGGGTGAAGGCAACTGCATTTATGCACGTTATAGTTACAGAAAGAAAGGAGAAGCCACATGAATACAAAATATAAACTGTAGAAAATGTTGTCGGACATCCAGGGCCATTTTCTGCCCCGTGCTTCAGTCTATTTCAGGGCCCGCGGGTGATTTAGGGAAGTATAGTATGTTTATTGTCATAATTCATAACATCAGCTAACTGAGAGTCACTGTAAACGTCAGAGGGAACACAGTGTTGTTTGAGAGGGGATGAAAATGGAGGTGATGTCGCCCTTATCAGAAATTTTATGTCTCTTGTTTCTGAAGCGTCTTTTCAGGCAAAAGTCTGTTGTGAAAATATTTTGCCAGCTTTGTGTGCACAGTGTTGGGTGTAAGAAAGCTGTCCACTGAGAAGTAGAGGTGTTTGGGTTCATCACATACTGTATGCTTGTTTCCATGCCAACCTTGTGATATTACAGTATGGCAAAACTCAGAAATGTTGCTTTGAATATATGAATAAGAAAGACGCTTTCCATTTAAAATGCATGACTTCTCATTGTGTGGTGTTGTGATGCAACACTTTCTAGATCTGAAAACTGAGAGTGTAAGAAATGTGCTGGAATCTGTGCAGAGAGATTTTCAGACACTTGCTAAAACATTCTAATCTATAAACAATACATGTAAATTATAATAAACAGGGATCTTTTCAATTCATGAGCACACTCAGGAAACCAACGTTCACAGCCACAGAATTTTATTTTGATAAATTTCGGTACGAGGATATACTAATCTTTTCCCTTTTAATTTCAATATAACGATTTCATAACTAACTTCTGATCAAATAATAATTTCTTAACTTGGTTCAAATGATTAAAATGACTTGATTGTGAAAGACATTTTCCTTGAGGAGCGAAGATCAGAAAAGCTTTAGTTTATCAGACGCAGCCGCTTCGACCTGCTACTCACTGTGTAATTTGTGTGAGGTGTGTGTAGTTACTGAGTGTGTTTGTTTGTGTGTGTGCATATGTGTGTAGAGGGCGTCACTCTTTTTATGTGTGTGTGTGTGTGTGTGAGACAGAGATAAAGGGTGTTTCACCGAAACTTTTTAAAAGGAAGAGAATATTGACATGTCTAGACATGTAAGACTTAGAGCAAGAGTACAGAGGGCAACAAGGACATTAACACTTCCACCACACAAATCTACACACACACACACACCCACACACATATGCAAACACACACACAACCACACACATATGCACACACTAATTTCTGTGTCCCAGACAATCAGCAGCCTCAGACAGGGCATCGAGAGCAGATCCAACATGATGTGAATGTGTTTCATCGCTCTCAGCAGCAAAAGGAGTAATCGTATTGCCAGCGTGTTGTCATGGATACACTGTTTCCATCGGTAGAATTAGCGCAGTAAAGCGTTGAGGCCTGAGCTGATTACCGGCGCGCGCTTTTATTCCTCTCTCCCTCTCACATCCCTCGCACTGCTGTGAACAGCCACCTGCTTCTGTAGCGTTTCCACCACCATACATTTTTAAAAACACCCAGAGCCACAGCGGGCCCAGATACAAACACAGGCAGAGAGCAGCGTAGGCCCCGTGGCTGAGATCCCTCCTAAATATAGCCCAGCTCAAGTGCAGCTGCATTAGCATCGCAAGATTCATTACTGCTGCCTTTGAATGCATCTGCAGCTTTCAGTGAAGAAAAGATCAGATGTCCAATATCACTACGCAGCTCGGGATCTTAAAGCTTTTTCACACACAGGAGGAATTATTTTGAAACTTCTCCAGTGGTAGTAATGTGTTGCCGTAAGACAAGTGGATATCTACAGTTGAGTGGCATCTTTTTCCAACCTTAAAACCTTAACAGACAGATGCTCGTCCTGTATTTACCTCTGCGTCGTCACGTAAACCAGCAGAGGATGATAAATACCTCCGGAGTGTTTCTGTCTCCGATGTTCTTCACATTTACCACTGTCGGTGCTTTTCACCGGAATATTCATGCCTCGCCTTCTCAGGGCGTCAGCAGGTCCCTTTTTGAAAGTTTGAACAATCTGAAGTCATATTATTTAACACCTTAAAGGAGGATTTTTCTCACTGTCAGCAAATCCCATAAGAAAGCCCAGAACAAACAACGTGTTTCTCTTTTCATCTTCACCCAGTCGATGGAGTTCAAGCACGTTTCAAGTTAATTTTTCTAAACATCAGCTCCAGTTCCATTCTTAAACTTTCAATTTAGTCCGTGTGAAAAGTGCCTCGGACCACAGACCAATAAATGGAATCCAACAAAAAGAGGCCCGTAGTCGTCCCCTCAAAGATTTAATGAATGGATTATATATGATATATCGAGGATGTGTCTGAAGATGGAGATGCTCGTACTAATACCAGAATGATATTGCTTGGGAAAATAAGTTCAACAGGTTGATGTCTATGATCCAATTCATTTCATGGTAGACACAGCTCATGTCTGTGATGACAGCAGGACGTACTTATGTCCCAAAACTAACCAGATCAAATGTAAACAATGGAACAAAGACACAAAGCTTGGTTCGTAGTTTCAGGTTTGAAAGGTTAATTTTGTTAAGTACTAAATTATCAAAATTGACAATTTAATCAAATTGAAAGGTTTATTACGGCTGACGTGTTTTTGAGTCATTAAGTCGCTTCAAGCTTCCAAATGCGGACGGTCCCTGAACGGTGTTTAAAGAACATGTTGCAGGTTTTACAATAAGATATGTCATCAGTTCTTCTCCTGGTCTTGTCCACCAAAAGAAAGCAGCCTCTCGTGTGTGAATCATTTGAATAATTCTCACTTCCTCAGCTGAGGCTGCTCATGCAAACAGCAGCATAAACTGTGCAAAGGTTACAGTGCGGTGATAATAGTCATGTGACACCAGAATCAGCATTTTAAAGAGAACTTGGTCACCAGTGTGTACAACCATCGATAAGCAGCTGCAGTGCTTCCTGGACGTGTTTACATTACCCTCGTTGTCCAACTCAGCGGTATCTGGATCTCCATTTTAAATGAGCCAGCGAATGGTTAGCTATATATAGACCATTTTAATATTTATTATAAAATTATCCACGGAAACAGAAACTGGACGTTGCGGCGCTGCAGCTGTAGAGTTCACATCCAGTTTATGTCCACAGAGATAGACGCATGTGGAATGCTGCAGTCAGTGGAGGGAAAATGTTTAAACCTCAGATTGTAGACGCTGAAATCTTTATTATGAAAATGTGTAACAGTCAGAATCAGACAGAATTGTACTTTGTGAATTTGGGCTTTACAAATGAAATATATAGGAAGGAAGTACTTCACTGATCACCAAAGTAGACAGAATAGTCAAAAATACAGTGTCCATTCCTGTAATATTAACTATGGTTATAGTTGTACATGTGCTTGTTGAAGTTGTAGGATTACTATAGTGAGTAGTCTAGCTTTAAATGGTTCCCACTGCGGAGACAGTTCAGTTCAGAGTCCAAAACTCAGCAGCAGCAAGTCTAGACAGTGAGTGGTTTCCATTCTGGAATCTGTGTGAATAAAATACTGGTTCCCTCATCAGGTCTCACTCCGCGTGACCCCTCAACTGGCATTATCCTGAGGGATGGTCCATGTGTTCTGTGACAGAATACACAACTCCATTCACAGTTTCTGGAAGTTTCTATGAAAGCATAGTGTGTGGCGGCTCTTCTTGTCGCTGGCTGACGGTCACGTACGTTTCACGTGCTGCCACAGAGTCGACCACAGAGCACGTTACTGAGGTGGATAAACACGGTGACGTTTCACTTTTTCTCTCCTCTCTCTCCCTTCACGTTCCCACAGTTTGGACCAACGTGGAGCCTCGGTCGGTGCCAGTGTTCCCTTGGCATTCGCTCGTCCCTTTCCTGGAGCCCAGCCAATCAGGAGCGGCTGCCCAGCCTGCCGATGGCCAACAGCCTGTCAGTCAGAGCAAAGGTAGCAACTGACCCCTTTTCTTCTGACACCATGACACACACGGAGGACTGATTTAACAGCTCGTAAAATTGTACTTCAACATACAAATCTGGTCTCAGACTTTCAGACGCCACTGTACGTACATACATATATATATATATATATATATATATATATATATATATATATATATATATATATATATATGTTTTGATTTGACTCTGTATTATAAATAGGTTTTTCCCACAGTAAAACAAAAACAGTGTGTTGTGTTGTTTCTGAAATCACGACTGCCAAAACACTCAAGGACAAACGTTGGTTGGACGAACCAGCAGCCAAATCATTGTTTCCCAAAACAGTTGCACAGTTCAAATCAGCACAGTTGGTGTTCACACTAAATATAATTTCAGTAACATTGTTTATATAACACTGTTCATTGACGGAATCTCTAAACTGGATTCTTATTTTGATGCATTTTGACTGGTGGGAACATCAAATCATCTAAAAAACGACTTTGAGGACTTCAGTTTCTTTTCCAAACAGAGAGACTTTGGTGCAAAAGGCTTTAATAATCCGTGTGATCCCAGTTAAAGGAAGAAACTGAACAGCTGATACCTGAAATATAAAAATAACATATCGTGTCAACTGAATCTTTCAGTTACTAGATTTAATGACAAAATACTTTCATGTACAGAGGGAACATTTCCTTTAAATGTGAAGTGGATTCATTTTTTTTTACCGTGGGTGAGATGTTCTTTTATTACTGCAACACATTATAACATAGATGTATTCAGAGCTAATCACACCTTCCCACAGTCATTTGGCCAGAAAAGAGCTGCATGCAGGGTAATCCTGCATTTACTCCTCTACACACAAACCTCACAATTTCATCAGGCTTTTCACTAACTGGCAAATGAATGGCTGTTATTTTTCAGAGCCTCGTTGTGGCGTGGCCCTAGTGAGTGACGGACGTACCGGCCCTCCAGACCTGGAGAGGGGATCTCCGTTGTGCCCTCCGCCGACCAATGACAATCCTCCCGCAGACAGAGGCGGGGCTGACAGCGAGACAGAGAGCGACACTGATGACCCGTGAGTGCATCGTCCTTATCTTGTCCACAGCCAGAGAGCTTCTGAAGGGACCCTTCTGTAAAACTTCATTTCTTGCTCGTTTAAGTTTTTTCTTATTTTGTGTTGGTTATCAAAGCAGAGAGTAGAGAGGGCTGCCTAAAGGTAAATGGTCCGTGTGAAGAGGTGGAACACATTGACTGCAATACATCAGCTGTTGGCTTTTTAATTTGTCTGCATTCATAGCAAATAGCTGTTCATAGAGAATCTCACTAATTCTATAGTCATCAACTTATTAACTGTTGTGTAACTGATCTCAGTCTGACTTTGTAAAACTGTTTTTGCAAAGAAATCGTTAAGTTGTATTTCACAAACAAGTTGTCAAACTAAGTCCTAAGTTAACCTTCTGTGCTTTAAAAACTTGTTTCCGTGCCACTTTTAAACTCATATTGAGCAAATGCTTCCTACATTGTGTTGTTTCCTCTCTGCGACTCTGGCTATGACTCAGTAGAAAGCAGGTAGTAACTGTAGAATATATGAGGCACAGTTTGTCTCTTTAGTTTGAATCAGTGGCGTTAAAACTCTCGAGGACACTCCGCCGGGAACAGGTGCGTTGAAATCACCGCCTCTGACAATAAAAATTCAAAAAGAAGCAAACAACAATAAGAAGCAGCGACATCTCTACCAGCTGCTGTGTCTGGCAGCAGTTGTTCTCTCTGTGCTTGCTCATTCCGCTCAGTCTCGGGCTGCGTCTCTGCGTCTGGCTGGGTTGCTGCTCTTTCAGAGTGACTCAGACGGGCTGCGTGGCTGTCTGGCTTGTAGTGTGGTTTTGAATGTTTCAGGGTCACCATGCACACAAAGGCCGCTGAGATAAATGCCTCAGCAATCTCCTAATGCTGCAGTGGTTACACCTGTTATCTGCCTACGTCTCTGTGGAGAGAGACAGAGATGGCGGTGTTATAAACTAAAGTCCACACATTAAAAAAGATTTGAGGTCGGTTTGTTGTCACTGTGAAAAAACAACCCCAGGCCCTTTCTTATCCGTCCACTCTCAGTCTCTAACTCCCTGTTTTCTTCCTTTCTTTCTTTCAGGGTTTCCAATTGGTCTTAGGGTCAGGCCCTTAAAAAGACTTAAAATATTACTTTCTAAAATATTAAGTACTTTTAGGTAGGTCTTTATTATGTCAATATTCATTTTTACGCCACTTCTGTCCTCTGCCGTCTTCCTGAAAGTCCCTTCATTTCTCGTCTCTCATGGAGTCTTAGTTTCACTTCTTCTTTGTGTTTGTTTGTGTGCACAGGTTCTCCCCGGGTGTGGCCAACGATGCAGCGCCCTCCTCTGGCCCCATCAAGAGACGCACACAGTCCCTCAGCGCCCTGCCCAAGGACGCAGACAGGAAGGTCAGTCCAGAGGACAGACAGCAGTTGATACACAGAAAAGGGAAAATTATGTTACTAATTAAAAGTCACTGGAACAGCTTACGATCATTGTTTTCTTCCGAACTCCAACCAGAGGGAGAAGGACCACATCCGCCGCCCCATGAACGCCTTCATGATCTTCAGTAAACGCCACCGGGCCCTGGTGCACCAGCGACATCCCAACCAGGACAACCGGACGGTCAGCAAGATCCTGGGGGAGTGGTGGTACGCGCTGGGGCCCAATGAGAAGCAGCAGTACCACGATCTGGCCTTCCAGGTGGAGACAGACAATTTATTTAATCTCTACCGTTTGTCATTGCATTGTCAGGGTTAAACTCTGGTGAAGTGAATAGTTTCATGAAAATATGTGATGTTCAGCAGCAGTTGCAGGGTGTCTGGAGAAAGCAGATAAAATAGGGTTTATTCAAGGCAACAGAGGCCTCGGAGGGGACGGAGCTACAGCAGCTCACACTGCATAAACAGAAACTAGAACAGGATCCTGTTTCGTCCTCCAGGTGAAGGAGGCTCACTTCAGAGCTCATCCAGACTGGAAGTGGTGCAACAAGGACCGCAGGAAGTCACTGTCCGAGGGCCGTGGGACCCCAAAGGAGCCGCGGGAGAGGAGCATGTCTGAGAGCATAGGTGTGTTGATGAACCTCGATTAACATTTAGCCTCTCAGAAGCAATGCAATGACTTTGAATACTTTCCGCATTGTAGATTTATTAAAATGTTAAACTGTAGCAGCCATTTTCTGTTGCATTTGACACAACAATAAACTGAAACCTCAAGAGTGTCAACACTACAAACAAGCGTTGGAGAGGATTTTATGATTCTAAGTTTTATTGATTCATTCCGAGATGATTCACCAAGTTATTTTCGTCTCAAGAGTCTTTCTTCTGTGTCCTGCAGATCCGCTCTCTGAGTCCCAGACGGTGGAGGGGAAGGGAGGAGGCTCAGGCTGGCCGGGGGGATCGGAGCATCGAGGGGCGCTGTTTACGGGGCAACCACCCCGTCCCAGAGCCTTTTCCCAGAGTGCCGTGCACACCCTCGAGCAGAGCGAAGGAGACCTGGAGAAGGTAGGAGGTTGTTAATCAGTAGCTCCGAGGCAGCAAGCAGCCTCTGGAGATGGAAGAATGTGTAATCTGTTATTCAACCAGTGTGTAGATCAGGATCACTGTGACCTTACAAGTAGAAAGTAAAGATTCTTTGCTTTCATTTGAGTATTTTTAACAGGTTTGTTCCGCCAAAAAATGCACCCGAGAGAACAAAGTTAAAGAAATAAAAATGCAGACAATAAAAGCAGCAGACTAAAGTAATAATACGGGAAAAAAAGAGCCAATGCTTGTGTGTATAGGAGCGCCTACGCAGCGAAATGTGTGCTGATGCGAGAGTGTATTCACAGACGGCAGACGTGTGTCCTTCACACTGCAGAGCGCTTGGGTTGAACTCTACAACTGAAAGCACGCTGTTCAAAAAAAAAAAAGAAAAAAACTGTTCAAATGGACTCGCTGGTTTCTTTGTGTGAGGGCTGGAGCTGTTGCTGTTGAAAACCCACTGAAACCTCTGGGGGAGCTCAGCCTCCGACTTCAAACGTTTCACCTTCTACTTTTTCAAAGTCTTTGAAGGTTTGAAACTGTGCTTTGCTTTGCTGTTAATCACAAAGGAGTAGGTCTGCATGTGAGCTCTTTTGTTTGAAGGCGTTCATTTAATGCCAGTGGCAAAGCCGTATATGTACAGCGCGCATGCTTTGATAATAGCTGTATTACTTCTGTCTGATGTGTTCTTCTTAAGTAGTTTTTCTTTTTAGTTCGGAGTTATAATCAGTGCCCTACTGAAAATATGTTCTCTGCTTCAGCTACCTCGTTATATTATAAAATGTCTTAAGCTGTTTACTTTTCTCTATTGCATCAGGGTTGTAGTCTTACTAATAATTACAGAAACACTTATCATGTGTGTAGTTAAGGGCCCAAGGAGGTGCAGTGACGAATTTGGACACGTTATTTGTTCAACATCAATACACACTGAATAAACATCATTGACATGAAGTTGTCACTCACTACAACAACACCTGATTTTCTAGTTCAGGGTTCAGGGAGCTATATATATATATTATATATTTAAATAGTTAAAATAATATTTAGAATTAGTCAGTGTAAATAAGAGCATATTATTTGTAAAAGCTTTCAGCGAGTTTCACAATGATTCAAAAAGCCTCAGTTACAAGGTGAGACCTGACAGGAAGCAGCAGGGCTCCATCTGCAGATCTTAGTGGTCGAGAGGGAAGATACCAGGTCGGTAATTCTGGAAGGTATTTTTAAAGGTGAGCAATAAAATGTTAAAATCGATATAAAATCCAACAGGGAGCCGGTGTAAGGAACAGAATGTAGCTCAGCCCGTAAAATTTCTGGTCCAACCCGTCTAAGCCCAAAAGAAAAGTAAACAAAGCCCGAGTCGAACCAAACGTCTTCTCGGATTACAGACGTGCGGTGTAATCAGCTCAGCCTTCATGTCCGGACCCAAACATCATTTCAAAATAGTTGTGAAACCCGGCCCAACACAACGGGCACCAACCTGCTTAGGTTGGGATCCACACTCTAGTAGGGAGGCAGGTACAGGGACGATGAGGTAAACATTTGACGATGGAGGGAGCTCTGCTGTGTCATATTCATCAACCGACAAAAATTATTTTATTTTGTAGGAGGACGGGGCGAGTTTGTTTCACAGCCGGCGCCCACCTCCGTCCCTGTACCAGAGCAGAGTCAGCGAGGACATGACCAGCGATGAAGAGCGCATGGTCATCTGCGAGGAAGAGGGGGACGATGATGTCATGGGTGAGTGAGACACTCAGCAGAGAGGTTACGCTGATGAGGGAGACGGTTTCATAACCACAGATAGTTTCAGTTCCTACAGCGGTCTGTGTGTCAACTCCAGCCACGCTCGTCGGAGGCTATGTCATCTGGTTAGCCCCGACCCCAGATTACTCATATCGTCACCCCTGTCCATTTGTTTGTTTGTTGTTCAGCACGATTCAGCAAAAACTATTGAACAGATTTCCACTCAACTTGGTGGAAGGGACAAGAGCCGAGAAAGAAGTTGTTAAATGTTGGACACAGACAAAGGGGGCGGATCCAGGGATTTTATTTTATTTTATTTAACATTGTTAGACACGTCCACTGATTTCTCAGGGAATAATTCATGGATCTTTGTTTTATTTGTTCGATGGAGACACTTGCGGTTTGAAGGCCGCCCTGCTTTTGTTCAGAAACATTACTGTGTGGCTTTGCTGGGTCAGACTGAATTCGCAAATGAAATCCCTCATTGTGCAGTTTATTAAGTCCCTTTTGTTGAATTCTGTAAAAGAAATATTCATCGTCTGTGTCTCACCCTCAGAGGATTCGTGTCCCGAAGGCTCCATCGACCTCAAGTGTAAAGAGCGAGTAACAGACAGCGATGAGGATGAACCAGACGGACAGGTGATCATCAAATAACTACAGTTAATGTTCACGGTGCACGTAACATGCTTCTCCCTCCTCTTCATGATTTAAATAAAGGATAATGGAAATGTTGTAATTGATTATCAGTCTTCTTTTTGTGAGAATATTTATGAAGCTTGACTTGTAGTTAAGATTAGTTTCGTGTTTTTCTCTATGTAAGGCAGCATATCGTCGGGGCCTACACTTTTTCCAGAGTTACTTTAAGTTGAGGAGGAGAAAAACTTTACATGGAAACTTTCCCAGCTTTGATCTCTCCCTCTCTTCATCTCTCTCTTCCCTCCAGCATGGCTTCCAGCCAGTGTCCCGCTCCTCTCTCCCCTCCTCCTCCCCCTCCATCCCTCCCTCCGACTCCACCTCATCCAGAGGGAACGGAGCAGGAGGCGCTGAAGATGGGTCTGAAAGGAAGCGAAAGAGAGGCACGGACGGAGGAGAGGAGGGGAGTGAGGGAGGAACCAAGAGAGAAGAAACGGTAGCCGGGGGAGGAGAGGGAGGTGGGCAGGGCGCCTCCTCTCTGTCCATCACGAGCTCAACACCCAGCACCCAGCCTCCCGTCACCGTGGCCCAGCAGGGTGTGACCCAGGTCCTCGGAACCGTCCGCACGGCTCCCACCGTGGTGACCAACGTGGTGCGACCCATAGCCAGCACACACATCCCCATCGCCAGCAAGCCAGCGGAAGGAGCCGCCACCCTCAGCGCCCTCCCCCATGAAAAGAAAGCCACTATACTTATTGGAGGAGGCGGACCTCAGCAGCTGCCAATCACCGCAGGGGGTGGGTACCTGTCCTCATCCTCCTCTCCTGGTCCCGTCAGTGTAACGCCTGTAGGGGGCACCAGCCTGGTCACTAGCCTAGTTCTGGGAGGGTCCTTTCCTGCTGCCCACCCAGTGCAGGTCCTCACCCCACATCCCCAGCAGCCGCCCACACAGACCCCCCTCCCTGTCCTCCAGCCCCAGCTCCACCCCACCGCTGCATTCTCCTCCATCACACCTCCCCTCGGCTCCAAGCCGCTAACGCAGGTCCAGTACATCCTGCCCACCGAGAACCCTTCCTCCCCTCAACTCACCCAGCATCAAATCCTCTCCCTGCCCACCAATTCCGCCCTGGCTAATGGCGTGCACTCAGGGGTGGGAATCAGAGTCAGCCCCGGGATCAGAGGTGAGCCAGAGACCCACGATTGGCTGAAAAAGAACGAACAAATCTGATTTTGTTTTCAGTGCTTTCGCTGGTCCAATGAAAACTAAAGAAAAAATCTCTTTGTGTGATTTTTCTTCTTGCTGTAGTTCCCTTCACTCACTTCTTGTTAATCATCTCCACGGGAAGCTCTGAAAATAGATTTGATTGGCTTACGTAAACCAGAGATAAATGATTGACAGGAGAAACACTACTGTTATGAGTATGAGCGCCTGCCGCCCACCCACGCCTCAATCACTCTCTCTTCATGGGAGTCAGAAGCAACAGAACATCGTTCCACCTTGTTATCAGCGATGCATTTCATGTCCTCTCGTGTCCCCTCTCAGCGTGTCTCCACCCACACGTCGCTCCTGCGCTGTCGTCACCTTTCCTCTTTTTGCCTCGATTCATCTGTTCCTCACGCTGAGTGATTTAATTCTCCTTCTCTCTCTCGTTCTCTTTCTCCTTCTCACTCATTAGTCCAAACTCAGTCACCGGTCTTGCAGAGCAAGATGTTGGTTCCCATGGAAACAGTGAGAAAAGGGTCTACTCCTCCTCATCCTTCCACAATCTCCCTGGCGGCTCCGCCTCTTCCTGTGCAGAACGGCTCCGCAACAGGAAACAAGGTACGAATGTTCGAGGTGGAAAGCGAGTGTCGACAGAGCGTCACAGACACGCCGCCCTGTTCGCTGACAGGCGATGAGTTCAGGTTGTTGGTCCGTCGCATTCTTTGGAACAAGATATCTCAGGAACACCTCGAGGGAATTTCTTCCAAACTTGTACAAATGTCGAGTTGGACTCACAGATTAACCAAATGTCACCTTGGCCTCACAAATGTATTTTTATTTTTTAAACCCCCCATAGATCATCCAGATTGCTCCCATGCCTGTGGTCCAGACCAACGTTCACCCCAGTGGTGCAGCAGCAGTGCATCCTGGGAACCCCTTTCCTGTATCCATGGCATCGGTGGTGGCTCCTGGTGCGGCTTCCCCACAGACCGTCCTCCTGACCTCCCCCCCCACCAGGTCACTAACACTCACACCTGATAGACGACAACAACACGTTCTCACTTTGATTTTCCTTAACTTTAGTATTTTCTATCTTTTTGCATCGTATCTGTGTCATCGCTTAATGAGAAATAAAACTAAAGTTAGAATTAGACATTTTTTGATTTTTCATATTTAATAAAATTCATTTTGACAACTTTTCTTTCGTTCAGGATCACCTATGTCCAGTCTGGCCCAGGAGTTACCACAGCGACACACCAACAGGCCACGCCCGCTCCAGGCCCTGCGTATCTGCCATCACCTTTAACGACTCTGGGCTTCACCGCCATCGCCCCCAGCGGGCAGACCCTGGTTCAGCCAATCGTTGGTCAGTCGCCTCTGCTGGCTCCAGCTCCAGCCCCAACCCTCAACTGTCAGTCACAGATTCCCACAGGCCCGACCACGGCAGCCGCTGGTCGTCAGGTAAAGAGGAAGAAAGGCCTTTACAGAAATGTTTTAAAACTCCGGAGACGTTTGTGGCCATGAAGGAAATTAGAAAACTGAAATATCAAAAGATGTTAATGGTGCGAGATTCAATCCACCTACAAAAAATATATCGTCAGCTTGCCACAGAAGGTCGTTAAGGACCAATTGTAGACATGAATGTTAATGACATCACTGCTTACTTCTTTCAGGTTTCAGTTTTGATGAAATTTTCTATTCAGTACTTATAAATCAAATTTAATGGCATGAGTTCAAACAGCAGTGAATGAATAAATCAAACCTCAATATCAATAACGAGTGCACATAAAAAAAAGTGATTGTATTAAAGCAGTCATACACACGCAGCTCTGGAATCAGAAGGTGCTGGATTCATCATTCTGGTATCGATAAGTCGTCACTACTTTAACTTTCAGACATTAGGGAAATAACCGTAAACAAACAAATGAGTTTATTGGCAGCGTTCCCCCACCTCTGTTCTGAATTTTTAATTTTATCTATAAGGTTGTGAAACTGCCAAAATGATTAACAGCACTCGGGGGTTTTTTTGATTGATGTATCGAAGCAGGAAAAAACAGCATAAATTAAATGTTGTCGTGATAGTTTTTACTGTTGTCACCTCTTCAAACACACACTGCTTATAACATTGTTTGTTTTTAAAGATGGACGACATGACAGCTCCCAAACGTGAAGCCAAAGCATCTTGATCAAACCCGTGCTTTAAAATCTTCTTCATCAGGTACTAACTGCCATCTACCCTGCACCGACTGTCGCTCTGGCTACCGGCGTGGTCTCTGTGGCCACTGTGCTGTCCACAGTGGGAGCTTCAGCAGCCCAGGATGTCACAAACCCCTCCTCTCCATCGGCAACAGGGGCGCAGGGTTCGGCGACGGCTACCCCTCAGCCTAGCGCGGGGGTGGAGGTGGAACTGAAGGTGGAGGTGAAGAGGGAGAGTCCCGTGGATGCTCAGATTGAGGATGGAGGGCAGGGGATATCAGTGGCCTCCTGTATGAGCCATGTCACAGGTAATATAATTAAACATCTGACTTGATGAAAGCAGAACTTTCTTTACTGTTATTAGTTTAGTAACAATTTTTGTAGAATATTTTCTCTTTCCATTAAATATTTTAGAGCTGATGTTTTAAACCCAATGTAAAGTTCTAGTTTGCAAATTGAGGTTTGGTTTTGAATCGAATTCTGACGTCATCTCCTTCTGTTCCAGTAAAAAAAGAGGAGGACATCGAGGGTCTCTACATCAAAGAGGAAATATTGAGAGATGAGAGTGATGCGGAGTACGAGAGAGGGATGAGGGAGAGCAGTGAAAAGAAGAGAGGCCATGAGACAGACAGAGAGGACCACAGCATGGGCAACAGCAGCAAAGAGGTTAGAAAAGCTGCATATCTGCTCTATTCCAGAACTGTCTCTCATCAAACCCCACATTTCTGAACGCTTTGGTAGAGGATCTTAAAAGTTCTGCTATAACACTTTTAGGTCAGATTTTCTTCTGTAGATTTGAAATTTTTTTGCTAAGTTGTCTTTTGGCGATAGAACGTCTGTGATACAGTTTAATGTAACTGAAGAATGTCTTCAAATTGGAATTTGAAGAATGCAGCAGGAGATTTTCTGGGACAAACGCGTTCATGACAACAGGAAAATCTCCAGAACACTCCGGCGTCTGGTTACAGCAGCAGGAGGCAGGACATGACGTAAAAATTATACTGTTAGTCGTACTTATCTTTCTCTCACACTTTCTTTCCAGGTTGGACCTCGTTCTCCTCCTCCACTATCCTCAGGTTTGGACCCCCCTCCCCCTCCAGCTGCAGAAAGAGAGCCCCCCTCCTCCTCTAAGAAGACCAAGTTTCGCCCCCCGCCGCTCAAAAAGACACCCGACTCTCTCGACAAGTAAGTGGGATGTATTTTTCCATGTTTCTGCACTTTGTTCAGACCAGACGGGCACTCGGAGAGCAAATACCATCCAGAAAAAATCCTGGATCCTCCCATATATCCAGATCCGCTCCAAATTGAATGGGTTCCTACTTGGCTCATGGTCCCACCCCTCCACAAACTTACATGGAAATCAGTTTGGTAGTTTTTGCTGATAATCAAACAGACGGCAAAGAAAACGTAATGTCCGTGGCGACTGGTGATTTTGAAAGGAACCAAAATTGGCACTAGTATCAATAAAATCAGCTCATTCTCAGCAATCTGAGTCAAAGTGACGACTGTGAAAGAATCTTTTGCCAAAGCAAAATAAACAAGTGTGCCAGGTCAGTCTGGCTCTCTGCTCATTGTAAGAGAATGTTCTCTGTATTTTAACAGTTTATATTTTCTCACGCTGAGAGAGTTCAGGAAACTTGTGTAATTCTGCCGTGAAGCAGCTTGAAGATGAGATGCAGCCCTGGACAGGACTCCGTTTATTCAACACTGATTTTCATAGTGGGATATAGTTCCATTTTAATCTCCAACTTTATAAATCACCAGTGGAAACTCTGTGTTTACTGAATGTGAGTGGGCAGAGTCCTCGACCTTGCTATTCTTTATTTAGAGAGCATGAGAGTGGTGGGGAACCCACGGAGCAGAGAAATCCCCGGCAGAACTCAGCCCAAAAGGGACCAGGAATGTGAAAACATTCAGAGGACGTCCCTCGATGGTTTCACATCCTGGTTACTGGACGAGGGGACTGATGTGGCTGCTGTGGTTTGTGCATGCAGGGTCTTGTCGGAGACATATTTCGAGGAGCGATTTGCTGAACTTCCAGAGTTTAATCCAGAGGAGGTCCTTCCCTCGCCCACCCTGCAGAGTCTCGCCACGTCACCGAGAGCCATCCTGGGAAGCTACCGCAGAAAGAGACGCAACTCCACCGGTGAGATACTGTGGAGAGGGAGAGGAGGAAACGATGATGCAGAGACATTTTATACACATTCCATCTGGATAACTTTTTACACTAAGATGTTTTGAGAGATGATTCTCTCTCTACATTTGCTACTTGCTTTTTACCGAAATGTTCCTTCTCAATCTTTGTACCAACACTGTCCAAATTCACCACTCATGTCCGTTCTCACCGCATTTCCCTCTTTCTCGCCTATTATCCACTGTCTTCCTCTTCCTGTATTCCCTTTCTTCATCCCTCACATGTCTTGTCTCTAGATCTGGAGCCGGCAGCAGAGGACCCCAGCTCCCCGCGAAGGAAGACCCGCCGTCTGTCCAGCTGCAGCTCGGAGCCCAACACCCCGAAGAGCGCCGCCAAGTGTGAGGGAGAGATCTTCACCTTTGACAGAGCAGGTAAAACGCTGACACCACCAGGTATAAAATCAGGAGCTTCAGCTGCAGAACAGGATATAACGACAGTGCTGTGAAAACCTCCTCTATTTGACCAGGCACAGAGGGAGAGGATCTTTTAGGAGACTTTGAGCGGGTCCCCTACTCGTCTCTACGCAGAACTCTGGATCAGCGGCGGGCTCTGGTCATGCAGCTGTTTCAGGAACATGGCTTCTTTCCATCAGGTAAATCACGTGTAGACGGGGCAGGACGCCATCATCAGAGAGGTTTCATCTCTGAATTGAATTAAACTGAAAAGGCAAATGTCAGGCAAACAGGTTTACTCAAACTCTACATGGATTTATAGGCACTCTACAATTTACACCTCTAATATCTCATTACTGTCCAATTAATCTTTGTTATCCTCTTTAAGATATCAGTTTTAATTCCTCTCCTTGTTCCCCCTTTTCCCGTCTCCTTCTCTTACCCACTACAGCTCAGGCAACTGCTGCCTTCCAGGCACGCTACTCAGACACGTTCCCCACCAAAGTGTGTCTGCAGCTGAAGATCCGTGAGGTCCGTCAGAAGATCATGCAGACGGCCACGCCCGGAACCTTCGAGCTCGGAGGGTCGGCTGACGTCAACCCCGCCCCGTCCCACAGCTCCTCTTTCAATCAATCAGCCCGGGAGGACGGAGGGACGGAGCAACAGGGAGACAGAAGCCGGAGCCCCGAGGAGCCAAAAAGCGAAGGATCATAAGCTGGAGAGGATGACAAAGAGGAAAAAAATCAAGGAGAAGAAGAGAGAAAGAGAGAAGTGTGTCATCCCCACAGAATGTTCTTGGACGTGTTGAACCAGTACTGAAGATGGCTCCAGCAGGATCTGTTCTACTGGAACTAATCTCCACCAGACCTGGGCAGAAGGACATTTGAATATGGTCTCAAATATTCAAACAACTCAAGGTGCGCTTGATGTGAATAATCAGACAAAACAAGCCTCAAAAACGGACACGTCGTGTCAAAGTCCTGATGAGTCAAGTTCTTCTTGTAGAGGTTTTTTTTTTTCTTCCCCTTTTTCCCGAAGTATCCAGAATATTTTCAGTTAACACTTTGCCCAGGTCTGATCTCTGCACATTTGTACAGTAGTTTGACACACAAACTCTGTGGTACACACTCTCTATCTCTCTGGCACACACAAACCCT